ACGTCCGCAACGGCGTGAAGTTCGGCCCGACCAGCTTCGAGGACCACATGCAGTACGACGGCCTCCGCTGCGCCTTCGAGTGCTGGGCCATGGGCAACGGCGCCGACCACATCGCCGAGAAGTACAACATCTCCCGCGAGGACCAGGACGCCTTCAGCGCCCGCTCCCACCAGCTCGCCGCGAAGGCGACCGAGGCGGGCCACTTCAAGAACGAGATCGTCGCGCTCACGGGCGAGCAGGTCGGCAACCGCAAGGCGCCGGGCCCCGAGGGCGGCGTCAGCGCCGACGAGGGCATCCGGGGCGACTCCACCGCCGAGGGCCTCGGCAAGCTCCGCGCGGTCTTCTCCAAGGAGGGCACCGTCACCGCGGGCAACGCCTCGCAGATCTCCGACGGCGGCGCCGCCGTCATCGTCAGCTCGCAGGCGAAAGCCGACGAGCTCGGCGCGAAGCCGATGGCGAAGATCGTCGCGTACCACACCTCCGGCGTCGCGCCGAAGGACATCTTCCGCGCCCCCGCCGTCGCCGTCCCGGCCGTGCTCGAGAAGGCCGGCCTCAAGATGAGCGACATCGACCTCTTCGAGCTCAACGAGGCCTTCGCCGCGCAGGCCCTCCAGAACGTCCGCGAGGCGGGCGTGCCCGAGGACAAGGTCAACATCTGCGGCGGCGCGATCGCCCTGGGCCACCCCATCGGCGGCTCCGGCGCCCGTGTCCTCACGACCCTCCTCCACCAGATGATCCGCACCGACGCCAAACGCGGCCTCGCCGGCCTCTGCCTGGGCGGCGGCAACGCGGTGACGATGATCGTCGAGCGGTAAGTATTTTTTAGAATTCGCCGTCAGCTACCGCCCGAGCGAGCTTGGGGGAAATTCCCCACAGGCTATAGCCACTGCTGTGACGCGACACTTTCAAGAACCCATGGCATTCGAGCAGGTCCACACAATGATCGACGACTCGCTTTGAATACCCAATGTCATAGTGGTCACCACTTGCTGTCTTGTCTTCGTTGACAATCAACGAGATGATTTTGGGGAGGCACTCTAGCTCTTCAGGGTGACTTAGCGACAGAAAATCATGGAATGTCGATACCGGAATACGAGCATGGGAAAAATTCCCGCAATACGCCCCGCCTCCCATAACTTTAGATGTTTCGATCAGATAGTCTTCGCTCAATACCGTCAGCGAATCCGCAATATCTTTTTCTGATAGCCCGCAATCAAGCAATTTGTCCATCTGATCATTTGGAAATGGCACAAATCCAAATCGCTCAGCCAGCGACGCTTCACAGAGGGCCTCGAGCACAATTGCATCCACATTGCTTAGCCCAAGAGCCGACAGCTTAGCTTCAATTTTTGATTCTGGCGGCATCTCGCCGAGTTCCGGCTTGTCATAGCGGCCATAAATAGAGTTTATAATCTCCTGAAGCTCGCCAGAGTATTCAGCAAGATTGCGAATACGTATCCACTTGGTTGCAACTAGGCATTGCGGAATATCGCATTGATCTATCACAACAGGAATCAAGCGACTCTGTTTCGCTATCCGTCGCACAAACCCGACATTCAGCTCCTCTCGAACCCATTCTTTATCGACACTGTGCTGCGACAGCACAATGACAAAGGCACTTGCCTCTTTTATCCCTTCTTCAAAGATTTTGTCTACAAGACTATCCCCCGGAAGCATCTCCCATTTATCGAGCCATGCATCCACGCCATTTTCGCGCAGTTTTTCTGCAAATCCAATTACGAACCGCTCTTTGTCCTCTGAAGCATGAGACACAAATGCTTTTGGATTAGCCATTTTCATTTCGACGCCTCCTTGAAAAAACTCATAGTCTTGATTTAGCATATCCAAATTGCTCTTCACATACGTGAATTCGCAATAAAAAATACTGTCGAGTTGCGGTGCCAAAATAGAGCGATAGCAAACTCCCGATGCTACTCGCAATACCTCGCTACAATCATCGCTCTACACGATTTCCATTATCGATTTGATCCACTCACGAGGAAGACTCTCCATGTCAGCCACAGACATCTCCACCATCGGCGTCATCGGTTCCGGGCAGATGGGGGGCGGGATCGCCCAGGTGGCCGCGACGGCGGGCATCGGCGCGATCGCGTTCGACACGTCCGAGGGGCAGCTCGAGAAGTGCAAGAAGCTGCACGAGAAGCTCATGGCCCGCGCGGTCGAGAAGGAGCGGATGACGCAGGACGAGGCGGACGCGGCGCTGAAGCGCATCACGTACACGACGCGGATGTCCGACCTTGACTCGGTGGACTGGATCGTCGAGGCGGCGGTCGAGAACGCGGAGATCAAGAAGAAGATCTTCGCGCAGCTCGCCGAGATGCACGCGGACGACGATGTCGTGCTCGCGACGAACACCTCGTCGATCTCCATCACCGAGATCGCCACCGCCTGCGGCGACGCGGCGGACCGCGTGGTGGGCATGCACTTCTTCAACCCGGTGCCGATCATGAAGCTCGTGGAAGTGATCTCCGGGCTCCAGACGTCCGACGAGGTCGTCCAACGCACCGTCGCGCTCTCGGAGCGGATGGGCAAGACGCCGCTGATCGCGAACGACCGGGCCGGGTTCGTCTCCAACCGCGTGCTGATGCCGATGNNCCGATGATCAACGAGGCGTTCTACGCCTGGATGGAGGGCGTCGCGGAGCCGGAGGCGATCGACGGGATCATGAAGCTCGGCTGCAACTTCCCGATGGGCCCGCTCCGCCTCGCCGACTTCATCGGCCTGGACACGTGCGTGCACATCATGGACGTGCTGGCGGACGGCCTGAACAACGACCGGTACCGGGCGTGCCCGTTGCTCAAGCAGCTCGTGACGGCGGGGCGGCTGGGGGATAAGTCTGGGCGTGGCGTGTTCGATTACAGCAAGTAATTTCTTGTGAAGCGCCAGCGTCGCATCGCGAAGCGACTGAAGTGGACGGCGATCGCTGTCGCCTGCGCATTCGCCCTGCTCGCGCTCTGGCACACAGGCTACCGGCTGACCGCGCCTTCGAGAGCGGTCGGTGTTGACTCGACCGGTGTACCCCCGTCGAACGCTCGCTCCGATTCGCTGACGGTTCTCGCCTACAACATCGCGCACGGACGCGGCCTCGCGAGGAGCAACTGGGACGGCGGCAGCGCGACGGAGCGGCGGCAGCGACTGGACGCGATCGCGTCTGTTCTCCGCGAGGCGGGCGCTGATGTTGTCGTGCTCAACGAGGTGGACTTCGACGCGCCGTGGAGCGGCGGGGTCGACCAGGCGCTCGTGCTCGCGCGGGCGGCGGGGTACCCACACGTCGCGCGCCAGCGGAATGTCGACGTTTCCCTGCCATTCTTCGGCGTGAAGTTCGGCAACGCGGTGCTCAGTCGATTCCCTATTCGCGGTGCCCGGCTTATCGATCTGCCCGCGTACAGGCCCGCCGAGGCGTTCGCGTTCGGCAAGAAGCAGGGTCTGCTCGTCGATCTCGAACTGCCGAACGGCAAGCCCATCCGTGCTTTCGCGGTGCACTTGGATGCGAGAGACGAGGCCACGCGAGTCGAGTCCGCGCTCCGCCTGATCGCTGCCTGCCAGGAATCGGAGGCGCCATTGATTGCCGCCGGGGACTTCAACGCGCACGCCCCCGGCTCGGCTGGCGCTCCCGTGGACGCGACCGGCCGGAATACGATCAAGACGCTCGTGGAATCCGGCCGGCTCACTCCGGCGCTCCTCGGCCCCGCGGAGTCGGCCGGGTTCACGTTCCCGTCGAGCACCCCGACGCGCACGCTGGATTGGGTGTTCGCGACATCTCACTTTCGCGCGACCGATTTCCGCGTCATCGATTCCCCGCTGTCCGATCACCTGCCCGTCCTCGCGACTCTCGTCTTCACTGAAACCGAAACCCCAGATCCCGCATCCGAGACCCGGGCCGATTCAGACCCAAGTCCATAGGAGGGAGCCCATGCCCGTCGTCACCGTCCAGATCACGCCCGGGGCGTCGCGCGAGCAGCGTGAACGGCTCACGAAGGACATCACGGAATCGCTTTGCTCGACGCTCGGGAAGAAGCCGGAGCATTGCCACGTGATCTTTCAGGAGTACGCGGAAGACATGTGGGGGTTTGGCGGGGTGCTGGTGGATGAGTTTCGGGCGCGGGAGCGGGGTGGGGCTTCTTCGTGACTATGCATCCATAGGGCAGCCCCGCCCTTACGGTCGGGGTTGGTATCGCGAGGACGCGCGAGCTGGATTGGATTCAGTCCGTGAAGCGTGCGGATTCCTGGCGTTCTCGGTTCACGTGGAGTTGGAGGACGTCCGGGCGGGAGTAGTGGCCGGTCACGTCGAGCATGGCGCGTTCTTCGAGGACGCGGGTGTGGTCGAGTTCGGCGGTGATGATGGTTTCCTCATCGGTCACGGGTTCGACGATCCATTCGCCGTCGGGGCCGGCGATGGCGCTGCCGCCGTTGGCCCAGGGGTCGTTGGGGTCGTTGGTCATCTGCTCGCGGAAGGGTGTGCCCTCGGGGATGCAGTCCGGCGTGAGGAGGCAGCTCGCGGAGATGACGAAGCTGCGCGCTTCCTTGGCGATGTAGCGGGTGATGTCGTGCGTGTTGTGGATCGAGCCGGGCCAGAGGGCGACGTGGAGGTCCTCACCCTGCGCGTACAGGGCGGTGCGCGCGAGGGGGAGCCAGTTTTCCCAGCAGTTGAGGGCGCCCAGGGTGAAATCTCCCAGGGGGTGGGTGACGAGGCCGTGGCCGTCGCCCTGCGCCCAGCAGAGTCGCTCCTCGTGCGTCGGCATGAGCTTGCGGTGGACGGAGAGAATGGTTCCCGATCCGTCGATGATGACGCGGGAGCAGGTGACGGAGTGTCCCGATTTTTCCTTCGCGCGCTCGATCACGCCCAGGACGACGTGGACCCCGTGTTTCATCGCGGCCGCGCAGACCGTGTCGAGGTCTCCGCGCCGGATGTCGACGGCCTGGTCGACGTAGAGCGCCTGGAGCTGTTTGACGTGGTCGACGTTGAAGCGGGCCCCGTCGTAGCGCGAGACCCAGACGGGGTAGGCGGGGATGAGGGCTTCGCCGAAGCAGACGAGCTGCGCGCCGGTCTTCGCGGCCTCGTGGATCGCGTCGACGGCTTTGGCGGTTGTTTTCTCGCGGTTGAGGAGGACGGGGCTGATCTGGGCGATGGCGACTTTGAGGGGGGTTGGGGGCATGGGCGCAGGATAGCTTTTGGGGGGCGGCAGTCGGCAGTGGGCAGTCGGCAGGTCGGGGGGCTTGTGGGGAAGGCGAGGGAGCCCGGGCGCTGACGCTTCCGGTTGTCTTGGTGTTGCGGACGCGGAGGATGGCGGTGGCGGCTCGCCTTCGGACTTCGGGGGAGGCGGTGGGGTCGGTGGTGATGTCGATGAGGGTGGCGGTGGCGCGGTCGGCAGTTGTGCGCGCGAGGGTTGATGCTCGGGACTCGGCGAGGATTGCGAAGGATTCGATGGCGCGAGCGATGTTTGGCTCGCTCAGGCGGGTGGTGAGCTCGGGGATGGTGATGCCCAGGGTGTCGCAGAGGTCGAAGAGGGTGAGGTCGGGGTCGAGGTAGAGCTGGATGAGGTGTTTGTCGGATTCAGTGAGTGCCTGTGCCATGCTCCGAGACTAGCTCGGCGTTGTTGGGGGGCAAGATTTTTTGGGGGGAGGTGTTGGATGTTGCGCACGGGAGTGGGAGTGTGTGCGAAATGAGTCCGCTCCCTGACGGTTGCGGTTGCTATCGCACGGGAGCGGATGGGATCTGCTCGGAAATGAATGGGATGTTTCGGTCCCCTCACTGGCGTTCGGGGTAATTATGTGGGAGACGCCGCGGACGGCGCGGGAGCGGCTTGTGTTGAGGGTCGCTTCAGCGGATCCGCTCCATGACTGTCGCGGTTGCTAGCTCTCACGTGATGATGTGCGCACTGGGCAGCCCCTCCCTGACGGTCGGGGTTGGTGCTGCGATGCCTGTGTTACCACTCGGGGCCGCCGGAGTAGCGGCCGTAGATGTCGGCGAGGGCCTGGACCATTTCGCCGAGGGTGCAGCCGGCGAGGGCGCCTTCGACGAGTTCGGGCATGACGTTGCGGTCGTCTTTGGCGCTGGTGCGGATGTTGTCGAGGGCCTGTTTGACGGCGGTGGCGTCGCGGGCGGCTTTGAACTTTTCGAGGCGGTCGCACTGGTCGATCTCGACCTGGTGCGGGATCTCGAGGA